CAGCCAGCCCCGCCCCCTGGTGGGCTGAGCTGGCCACACACACACACACACACAAATAAATAAATAAATAAAAATTTTTTAAAAAGATTTAAAGATTTTTAAGGTAAATGGAGGCAGTCTTTGAAAGTCAGTCTATATGTTACATTTCTTTATAAAGAATAACTCAGCTGAGTTATACCTTTTAAGCTTAAAATTATTTTACATTCATGTCTATAATATAATCCTTACATTCCATTATAATCTTGATGCCAAATATTTCATACTGCTGTCAGACAATGAGCCATGTGTTGATGATTTACAAAAAATATGGTCTAGAAACCAGTTTATTCAGTTGGACATCATTTACCTCAATCAAAATGACTCCACTACAAAGATAAAAGCTACTGACATGTAAGAGTTTGAAAACAGCCAAGTTATTTATGAATCTCATTGTGTTCCCTAACCTCACAAAGATACAGCTTTTCTTCTGGCCTTAGATCCCTAACTGCTCACCTCTAGCCCCACATTTTGGCAGGTAACTCACCTATCCTTGATGGAAAAAACTGCATGGATAAAAAGAGGTCTCCCTCATATGCACCCCAACCTCTGACTAGCTGCATGTGATTAAATGTTGTTGGAAACTGGGGAATATTCCTATGCCCTGTTGTTTTTCTTCTCTTTTTCTTTCTAAGGAGACCCTGGGTCTGAGGTTAGATGTTAAATCTATTAGGCTTTGTCACACACATACACACACACACACACACACACACACACACACCCCATATACCGTGTTAGTAGGCTGGTGGTGCTAATGCCAGAGTCTCATGCAGGCTGCTTTTCTCTTCCTGCTCTCAACAACTGTAGGGCTGAGTACTAACTGTGCCATGGGGGTCTTTCCTGTCCTGAAGGAGGGACAATGATGGAGAAGACAGTCCTGCAGTTGGTCTATGTGGTTTCTTTCAACACCTATATCTAACTTCATCTGCCATGGAAGGACTCTCTCCTGCCAAACACAGATTCCTCTTTTCTCCAAGCCCTGAGTGCATGTGTGGGTCAGTAAGTACTGTGGTCTACTTTTACAAACATTCTTTCCTCCTTACTTGGGTGGCAGCCTATACAAGACTATTGCATCTGGCACCAGCAGCACAGTACACAACACATGGTGGGGGCTAAACATCTGTTGACAGAATGGATTACACATCATCGGGGCAGAAGGTCAGACAGGCAAAAGTCTAATCCAAATTCTAGCATAAGAATTTCATTCTTTCACTAAATATATTGAGCATGGGTAAGTTCAAGAAGAAAAATTTCACTTTTTCACCAAATATACTCCCATTACCAGTTGGGCACTGAAAAAATAAATCTTAGAGCTTACATTTTAAGTGACAATTTAAAGGTCATTTGAAGATATAATGTATTTCACTTAGATGACAATACACCTGGAATCTCACACTCTGACATCAAAAAGCTCCATCTGCCAAAGCCGTAGTGTTTGAGGCTTAAGTCAGTAAGCTTTCTGTCTTATACTCTCAGCAATACAGTCAGGGCCAGGGAGATAGGTCAGTGGCATAAGCACCAGCCTGGCAGACCTACACAAATACTGATGAGAAAAAGACTAAATTGTTCATAGGTGATCTGATGAGTACCTGATGCTGGGAAGGTACAAGGCAAGCAACAGGAGATAAAGTGAATCGGGGATGGTACAGCTTTCCGTCTCCCTGTAAGTGTGGGTATGAAGACCCAGCAGTACAGTAGTGGGAAGTGTTCCAGAAGAGACACCAGAAGATTCTGTTCTGGAACAGTGAGAGCCCCTGCAACTTGGAATTAGAAAGAACTCCAGAGATGTTTTAATCCAACTTCCCCACAGATGGGGTGGCTAAAGTCGTCTGAAGGAGTGAGCTCACCACTCTGGAGTTACATGTCCAGCATTTCGACTCAAGAACTCAAGGCAGAGAAAGAAAAAAAAAAAAAAAAAACGCAGTCTCCAAATTCCACCATCCCACATCATGGTGTCACTTTACTGAAGCAAAAGCTGTTCTTGGACTGAGATCACCCTTTGAATGTGCTTTGTCATGAATATGGCCTTGTTGTGGGGTTAGCTTGGGCAGTCAAGATACTGACACTGCCTCCAGCACTAGCCACACAGGGCTGACCACACAGTCTGAAATGGAACCAGACACCTCCACACAAATGACCAAAAGTGTTCTGACTCCTCCAAAAATCTCTGAATGGTTTCTTTGTACAAGTTTTCAGTTAGGAAACATATGTAAGCCAAAGTTTTTTCCTGTGTGTCTGTGCAGTCCACCTTGAAGTACATCATATCAGAAAGAAAAGAAAAAAAAATTCCTAGGTCTGGGAAAAAATTCCTAGGTCTGGGAAACGTCTACTGCTGCATCCCTAGCTCAAAAAGCCGCCAACACTGGTGAGCAGCACACCAATATTTCCTTTTTAATAGACAAGGTGACTACTCGTGTAAGGGACCACAGAGCATCAAACAAAAGTAGAATGTGGCAAAGCCATGTAAAGTGTTTGCTTGAAAGTGATTCCAAATATGAAGTCCCCACATGAACCCAGCACAGTACCCTCCACGTCTGTGCAAAGGAAGAAGCTGTAGACAGAAGGAGAGGGCAAGGCCTTGACCATGACCACACCACACAGGCCGCCTCCCTCCTCGGGGACCGTTGCTGCCCCAGTACTATAGTGCCCAAGATGTGCACACATCATGCATGTGCCAGTGACAGCTTAGTTCCCATAACCAAGCCTCCTGGTCTAACATACTTATTAACAACAGGGGCTTATCAGAATGACACAGACACTGGTCAAGGATATCTTCAAATAAAAGTGGGGCATCAGACAACATGAATGTTTCTATAGATGAAATGACGATTCCCTCTTTTTTTGATACAGGGTCTCACTACACAGGTCCAACTCGAAGTGATCCTCCTCTCTCAGCCTCCCCAGTGCTGGGATTACAGGGGTGCACCACCTTGCCTGGTTTTGGGGCCAGCACGGCATGCAGTACCAGCCATTGAACTAGGAACCTTGTGCTTGCCAGATAGGCACTTAGACCACCAAGCTTTCTCCCCAGCCCGATTCTCTATTTTTAAAGCTAATCAGGGGCCAGGGAGATGGTAGAATAAGCGCTTCCCTGGCAAGTAGAATTAGCGCTTCCCTGGCAAGCACAAGGGCCTGAGTTCAATCCCTGGTTCTGCAAAAAAATAAAATAAATAAATAAATAATAATAATAATAATAAAAAAAAGC